CCCGTCGTCCCTCCCCGGTGGGAGACGCCTGTCGGCTGACGTACAGAGAGGACAGCGGCAGTGACACCGACCGAGGCTTCACAGAGCCGGACTTTAAAGACCTGGAGGACAGGAGGCTGTCCCACATCCTGGGCCCCACCTCCACGCGGCTCCCTCCTCAAAACGCACCACTGAGCATGCTCAGAGTTTCAGAGCCAGAGCACACGTCGAGTCCACCATCTAAAGAGCATGGCGACTCCTGCGGGACCATCCAGGGGCCAAACCCAGCCCCTAAACCCAAACTGTGGTCCCTCGCTGAGATTGCCACCTCTTCAGACAAAAGTAAAGGATGTAATGACTCTTCCCAGAGCGGAGGGCCGGGGCAGGCCCCAGCCCACCTAACGCCCACACCCCGGACCCCATTCCCTCACAGCCCGGCCCTGCCCCGACACCTCTACTACACCTCCCCCTTCATCCCTGGATACTCAAACTACGGCCCTCTGGGGCCACTGCACAGCCCCGGATCACACTTGGCCTCGGCGACACATTTAAACGGATTACACCAGACGATGCTGCAGAGAGCCGAGGCCATGGCCAGAGACTGCAGGCCACGCAGCCAGAGCCAGCTGGAGCTGCATGAGCTGAAGAAAGGCATGACGAATGTGTAGAGCGGACGGACCTTTGCACACATTTATTTATCAGGACCGAATGGATTGTTTCTAAAACATCTGGATATGGAAGAAAACTATTCAACACAGACAGATGGCCGGGCAGAGGCCACAGACGCTCACTCAGAAACACAAGCATTCCATTAGACTGCGTTTTTCTATGTTGATGAGATTTAACCTTTGTAGTGCATTTCTGCACAGAACATGAAGTATCATTAAAAGCTAGTTTTATTAATACAGAACCGAACACCTGCCATTCTTCAGCGGAAGTCATGCCTCAAGGTGCTGCACAACACTGCTCGGGATAGGAAGCAAATAGGGGAACGTGCCAGCTAGGTTCCACCAGGGGTTCTGCAGGTCTTCTCTTAAAATATCTTAATATAAACATTGAATTCAGTTTCTTCAAAAGTAAAAAACTAAACTAAAATAAATAAAAAGGCCCTAAACCCTGCTAAGACAGGACAAACATCACAGGGGCAGGTGGGAAATGAAATCTTCACTCAGTCTAACCTCAGCGGAATGATCTGGTCTGTCAGGTGCAGAACCTGGCTGAGAGCCTCCCGTTGTTAAGGTCCCTTCAGCCTCACAGTGATCCAGTGACAGTTGTCTGTGCGTCCATGGGGACACTGACTAAATGGAAACAAGTGTAGGCTACAAGAACAGGTCTGATAGAAGAGTTGTCTCTACCTGTAGCTGATATTACATCAGACAATTTGATGAGCTTATGATAGGCCTTGCTCTCCTGGTGACAGGCCTGCATGGTATCATGTTTCCATCTCTCAGATTAGTAAAACCATTTCTGACTTCCTCCGTTTTCATACAAAAGTCAGATTTCACACTAAGTCAAGTGTTACAGCCTCTGGCTCTGTGCCCCTTTGCCCCTTATGTGCTATTAACTGTCAGAGTCTTTATACAGATGTAGCTGGGAGGCCTGAACCTGTGGTAACTGGTGGCTTTGAGGCTCAATCCAATGTCAACACTTCTGCCTTACTGCTCCAGCACGCTCCTCCACCGCGCACCTGATGTGGCAGGCTCTCATACTGTGTGGACTGGTCCAGTTCTAACCTTGGCAGGGGGCTCTGGTTCTGTGAGAGCACTTCATGTGGCAGTAAGACATGAGCAGCTCACCCTTGTTTAGCTGCCAAGGTCAGACCAGAAGAACTGGACAGTCAGATAAATGCAATAGTTCCCTCTATAATGTAGAAGAGCCGAAGTATAAAGCAGCAGAAAATGGAAATACTCATAGCTCTCAATTGTACTTCAGTACAGTGGGTTACTTACTTAGTTACTTTCATCAGACACCATCTGCCTCCAGAGAGCAGCCATATGGCCACACTCTGCCTGACTGGACTCTGCCCACCACCACTGGACCAGACTCGCTGCTCCAGTGTGTTTTATGGTTAGACAACTCTCCCAGCCCTTTGGAATTAGTTTTATCATCTCAGGCTTATTAGTTTAATCTTTTCTGCTGGCCTTCTATGAAGTAAACACTTCTTCGTTTCAGTGAGAACCACACATCCCAATAGTCAGATACTCAAAACAGGCCACAGAACACGAGAAGCTGGCAACACCGCTTTGTGACTTCTTTGGTGCACAGAGAGCGGCAGCATGCATATCGACTGACACCTGGTGTTCACAAGAAGAACAGCACTTTAATATACTGTAGTCAGTGGAGCAGATCTGGTGTAAAGAAGAACTCACAGACCAGACAACGTCAGGCTCAGGACTGGTGTACAGTTTACTGTCAACAAAACAAAACCAACAGTGTCTAAGCCACCGGTTCCCACCAAAGATGTCGCCCTTTAAAACACATCACAAATAGCTGAATTCAAAATGTTTTTAAATTCCAGTGACTTCCTCAAACAGCGGCTCAGTGTATCGTTTTAATCAAACTAAAAAGAGGAAGCGGTGCTTTTATTGGGGTCCATTTTCAGAAGCGGATGACTCCACATTTGTGCGTATTGCCCTGTAATGTGAGTGCAGCCTTGGCGCCTCCTCTCTCCGTCTTTTCCTTCCACACGGGGATAATGTGAGGTGATGCGTGCAGCCAGCAGGTGGCGCTCAGCTCCGATGAACAGGAGGGAAACGCTGGAAGCTATTCAGTCACAGCCCAGACTTTGAGCAGTGGTGGAAAGTACCTAAGTACATTTACTTAAGTACTGTACTTAAATACATCTTTGTGGTTAAGTATATGTACTTGAGTATTTTCATTTTCTGTTACTTTATACTTTGACTTCACAACATTTTAAAGGAAAATACTGTACTTTTTACTCCACTACATTTATTTCATAACTTTAGTTCCTAGGTCTCAGAACCAGATTAATACAAAAAAATACTGTATAATTATAAGACCTCATTGATCTCCGGTAGAAAATTCTCAGGCTACCCAGCAGTACTTCAGATTAAATGGATATAAGCCGGTTAAAACCAGGTCCCCCTGTACCGGCAGCAACACTGAATGTGATGAATACAGTAACACATCAGTCATTGTACTACAATAATATGACATACAGGAACGTGAGATAGGCCACTCTGCATACTGAGTACTTTTACTTTTAGTACTTTAAGTATGTTTTGATGCGTTTGTACTTTTACTTACGTAACATTTTGAATGCAGGACTTTTACTTGTAACAGAGTATTTCTACACTGTTGTATTGCTACGTTTACTGAAGTAAAGGATGTGAGTACTTCTTCCACTGCTGACTTTGAGCATAAACAGCCTCTTGCATCTTTTAGTTTCTCAGGGCATCTTTGAGGAATTAACTGTGTAAACTTCAGATGTAGTTGGTTTGAAGCCGGCGGATTTGATCCTGATCCTGCAGCAACAAGCTCGGAGAATGTGGATCCATCTGTAAGCTTGGGCATCTCAGCACAATAACAGTAAGTGTGTATATGACCATGTTTCATGCTCAGGGGTCTGAGGAAGAGGAGGAGGGTGATGCTGCTGTGAGCGCTGGAGGAAACAGCACAGCCTTGGGATCTGCTGCTTTTTTTAAATGAGGATTTTACAGTAAAGATGTTTAATCTGAAGCAGATTCATGTTTGTCTGGAAATATACTCAAGTAAAAAAAACTTTCTCCTTTATAGTTAGTTTCTTTGCCAAACATGAGATAAGATGACAGACTGCAGCTGTTGTCAGGTGCAGATGTAATGTCTCTGCAAAATCTGCAGGTCTAGAAAGGAAAAACTACAAGTTTTAAAGCTTGATCAAGATTTTTGTTTTACAATAAATCTCCAAAATTAGAATTTTCGGCAGTTTAGAAGATTTTCACTTTCACAACAACTTAAATGTAATTTATTTTTATCTATGATTATTAATGTGTCTGTTTAGATTAACTTATCACTTAAACTATGATTTGCAGTACATTTACCTGTAATGCAGTATTTTTACTCTGTTGTATTCAATCTGAACTGCAGCGACCATGAACGATGATACAGGTGAAAACATCATCTACTGTATCTCTACAATGTCAGCTTCTCAGGATGTCTGGAAAGACATCCTTGATTGCAAAAACATTTAGGTTTTAAGGGACTTTCTCAGCCTGTGAGGGAAAGTGTGATCTTTGAACTAATGACAACCTGAAAAACAGAGAAGTGTGTCTTTCATTTCATTTCACATCTCCAGTTCAGAGGGTTTCCATTTTCACAGCAGTCTGACAGAAGCCATTTCATGAAGATTTGAATTTAATTCACTAGGTTTAGAGCTGCGACCACTAGCTGATTAACTGATTAAGCAATCAAGTGAAGCTATTTATCAGCTATTGTGATAATGTTTTAATCACTGCCAGTTATTGGATCTAAAATTCTGTTTTGTGTATTTTTCTTCACAGGAAACACTTCGGGTTCTGGACAGTTGGTTGAACAAAGCAGGAGAGCTATAGACATCTCTGTGGCCCCGGAAAGCTGTGATCAGGGTCTTTCACCACTGTACATGTTCATTTCATAAACTAAACGATTAACAGATTGAAGGAGAAAATACCTGGCAGAGATGTCACCAGGTTACAACCTGCCGGTGTCTTGGGATATGCTGATATCAGGTTAATCAATAATGAAAATATCCATCCATTATCTATATCACTTATCCTGAACAGGATGGAGGGGGGTTGCTGGAGCCAATCCCAGCTGACACTCAGCGAGAGGCGGGCTCCACCCTGGACAGGTCACTAATCTGTCACAGGGCTCACATGTAGACAACCACCCACACTCCTAGGGGCAGTTTAGAGCCACCAGTCAACCTGCATGTCTTTGGACTGTGGGAGGAAGCCAGAGAGAACCCACACAGGCACTGGGAGAACATGCAGACTCCGCACAGAAAGGCCCCGGGTCGGCCCGGGCTTGAACCTGGAACCTTCTTGCAATGCCGCTGTGCCGGCAATGAAAGTAATAATTAGGATTAATAATTTTACAGCCAGTCTAATTTGACTTTTCACCCAAAATATGCTTGCAGTACTTTCATTTGTACTGTAGTATTTTATTCTGTATTAGACTGTCTGCTTTCCCCCACCTCATGTCAAAGTGAAGTATTTTAATGTTTACACTTATTG